TGAATTAGCTTCTTTCAAAAACCAGGCTCCAGCAGCAACGATGTGTTCAAAGTCCATGAGATTGAAATGGAAAAATGACTTCACAAAACAGGAAATATGTGTTGGACTGTCTCCAGTGTCATAGACTACATTTCGTGGCCGTGTTGTAAGAATAGTTCTCTCCACAATGAACTGGCGGCGAAGGAGATGGCAATGAAAAACTGTTCCATGAAGAGGATAAATTGGAGAGGCTCTTTAAAGATGGCAGTGGAACTTCATCTTGAGGAGACTCCAACACTCTCAGGCCACAATTCAATTTGAATGACAGGAAAAATCTGATATTTGAGGAAAATGATCATATGGGGTAGTATATACAATCCTTTTTTTTTTTTTTGATAGACCTTCACAGACAATTCATTCTGGGATGTTGCAGATTTGCAACATTGCCCCGCTGTGGTAAATAGAGCTGACCAGAGGGGATATAATCTACTTATATATATATTATTCTTTCTTTTTATGCAGTTTTGGTTTCAGATTATTAGAGGTTGGAAGTGATACTGACTTGAAATTGATGCCTAGAAAATCCGTTATTCTGTGAAACCAAGGACATCGACATCTTGGAAGCGAGACAGTGCTGCCCCCTGGTGAGTAGGTGGAAAACTGTGTGTTGCCAAAGCTCAACTCCAGCAGTGGTCAAAAATATGGATGTGGAGTGGTTAGGTAACGAGAAAAGTTGTTGCAAATCTGCAACGCCTGCCTGGAGAGGGCTCACCTGCTTTGCCTTGATGGTTCCGCAGTATGGTGTTAGACTCAATCCACTTTTCACAGCTTTTGACAATGTTATAGTTATATTTTCTTCTCTCAAACAGTGACATGCAAATAATTTTAGATGTTTTTAGCCTGATGTTTACTTGTGTCATGTGAAGACTGTTTTAAAACTACGTCACAAGTAATACGAGAGACTTTGCATATTGGAGAAACCGTGTAACCAGAGTCACCCATAGTGTTAGCCGTAATGCAGAAGATCTGACTCCTTTCTGGTGGTGTTGTACCCGGAAAAAATTATAACTTTCACAACACAATTTTTCGCTCTTGGCTCAACGCTACGCTCCAGATGTGTGTCAATGCATTTTTTTGGACCAGTCTAGTTTATCCGCTGTGGACATTTGAATGCATGCGTTAAACGTTTGCATTCACTAACACATGCGCAAATGCGTTTATTCACATTTTCTGCGGGAGGGGCTGCCCACGGCCATTTTGAAAAACTCAGCTGGAGTTTTTCATTTGTTTCAACGGCGGAGATAGGCCGTTTATATTTACAGTCTATGGGTACGACGCCTGCGTGGGTGCCTGGAAAACCAAACTTTAACACTGTCCTTGAGAGCGAGACACATTTAATTCCACTTCTTGTTTCAAAGCTTTAAAAATCATCCAAAACCGGAAAACAGAAATATTGGCCAGTCTCCTGAACGACTGAATGTCCTTGTAGAGTGACCGCAGCTTTTCACATGAGGATAGAGCCGCTGTGTGTGTGTGTGTGTCTGTATATGTGTGTGTATATAAGTGCGTGTGGTGTGTCTGTATATATGTGTGTGTGTGTGTCTGTATATGTGTGTGTGTATAAGTGCGTGTGTGTGTCTGTATATATGTGTGTGTGTGTGTCTGTATATGTGTGTGTGTATAAGTGCGTGTGTGTGTCTGTATATGTGTGTGTGTGTGTGTCTGTATATGTGTGTGTGTGTGTGTCTGTATATGTGTGTGTGTATAAGTGGCGTGTGTATGTCTGTATATGTGTATGTGTGTGTGTGTGTCTGTATATGTGTGTGTATATAAGTGCGTGTGTGTGTCTGTATATATGTGTGTGTGTGTGTCTGTATATGTGTGTGTGTATAAGTGCGTGTGTGTGTCTGTATATATGTGTGTGTGTGTGTCTGTATATGTGTGTGTGTATAAGTGCGTGTGTGTGTCTGTATATGTGTGTGTGTGTGTGTCTGTATATGTGTGTGTGTGTGTGTCTGTATATGTGTGTGTGTATAAGTGCGTGTGTATGTCTGTATATGTGTATGTGTGTGTGTGTGTCTGTATATGTGTGTGTGTATAAGTGCGTGTGTGTGTCTGTATATGTGTGTGTGTATAAGTGCGTGTGTGTGTCTGTATATGTGTGTGTGTATAAGTGCGTGTGTGTGTCTGTATATGTGTATGTGTGTGTGTGTGTCTGTATATGTGTGTGTGTATAAGTGCGTGTGTGTGTCTGTATATGTGTGTGTGTATAAGTGCGTGTGTGTGTCTGTATATGTGTGTGTGTATAAGTGCGTGTGTATGTCTGTATATGTGTGTGTGTATAAGTGCGTGTGTGTGTCTGTATATGTGTGTGTGTATAAGTGCGTGTGTATGTCTGTATATGTGTGTGTGTATAAGTGCGTGTGTGTGTCTGTATATGTGTGTGTGTATAAGTGTGTGTGTGTGTCTGTATATGTGTGTGTGTGTGTCTGTATATGTGTGTGTGTTTGTGTATGTATGTGTGTATATGTCTGTGTGTTTATGTGTTTGTGTATGTGTGTGTGTATACTGTATGTGTCTGTGTGTATAAGTGTGTGTGTTCATGGTATGTATGTGTGTATATGTCTGTGTGTTTATGTATGTGTGTGTGTGTATAAGTGCGTGTGTATGTCTGTATGTGTGTATGTGTGTGTGTATATGTGCGTGTGTATGTCTGTATATGTGTATGTGTGTGTGTATATGTGCGTGTGTATGTCTGTATATGTGTATGTGTGTGTGTATATGTGTCTGTGTGTATATATGTGTGTGTGTATAAGTGCGTGTGTGTGTCTGTATATGTGTTCGTGTATGTATGTGTGTATATGTGCCTGTGTGTATATATGTGTGTGTGTGTAAGTGTGTGTCTGTATATGTGTGTGTGTTTGTTTATGTATGTGTGTTTATGTGTTTGTGTATGTGTGTGTGTACATGTGTCTGTGTGTATATATGTGTGTGTATAAGTGCGTGTGTGTGTCTGTATATGTGTGTGTGTATAAGTGCGTGTGTGTGTCTGTAAATGTGTGTGTGTTTGTGTATGTATGTGTGTATATGTCTGTGTGTTTATGTATGTGTGTGTGTATAAGTGCGTGTGTATGTCTGTATATGTGTATGTGTGTGTGTATATGTGTCTGTGTGTATATATGTGTGTGTGTATAAGTGCGTGTGTGTGTCTGTATATGTGTGTGTGTATAAGTGCGTGTGTATGTCTGTATATGTGTGTGTGTATAATTGCGTGTGTATGTCTGTATATGTGTATGTGTGTGTGTATATGTGTCTGTGTGTATATATGTGTGTGTGTATAAGTGCGTGTGTGTGTCTGTATATGTGTGTGTGTATAAGTGCGTGTGTGTGTCTGTATATGTGTGTGTGTTTGTGTATGTATGTGTGTATATGTCTGTGTGTTTATGTGTTTGTGTATGTGTCTGTGCGTTGTCCATATTTGAGTCCTGCAGAGATGTGCGTCCCTTCCACTAGTGAGCAGCACAAATCAGTGATTAAACCTGATGACAGAAGCTTCCTCCTGCTGCGGACGCACAAATCCTCCATTATCGATTCGTTTCTTCCACTACAGTAAAATGGAGTGATGTGTGTTACGTTATGTTCACCAGTAATGTACGTATTTAACTCAAAATGTGCTGAAATTTCTCATTTGCTGTCGAATAGATGCAGCCCGTGGGTTACACCATAGACTGGACAATGTAGCCCAATACAGGGAAGTGCTCGTGGGCGAAGTTTGGCACCAACTCGCTCTGGTTCTTATTGATTTACATGTAAAAGTAAACTCCTCTAGCTCTCAATCCTGGTGATTACATTGTGATATTGTCTTTGTAAATCCAGATATATTCAGGATCTATCTGTCCCCAAATGTTTGCCTTTTGCTAGCGAGTTGCGCGACAGTCTATAGTGGCGACAGACCGGTGCCGCTTCTGATTGGTGCTTGGTAAGTCGGCCGTTGCTGCCTTCAAAACAAATCCTTACATTACCGCTTACACAAATTTGTATCTTCTGTATCTTCTGCATTCAAGCTAACACTACGGTGACGTCAGCCCTCGGTCAATCCACTCCTAATAGAGTCATGGTTCTTTCTCGCCTCCAAAAGTTCCGACAGAAGATAAAAGATTTGGTAACACTTTAGATTAGCCCTCACTAATCAACAGCTGATTTAGTGCTAACTAGCTAACCCTAACCTTAACCCACATGGGAAAGTGTCAGTTAGAATTTAGTTACATGTTGAAAAAGGCCTTGACTAATGAGTGCTTAATAAAAAAAACAATTAAGCTAATTAGCCATGACTTATACACTTAATTAGCTGTTGATTAGTGACGGCTAAAATGTTATGAAAAATTTGACCAAAAACGTAAAATTCTCTGTTCAAAAATCACAAACTTAACCCGTAATGTATCATGTTTTTAACTTTGTATTTCAACTGTCTTTAAATGCACTTTTTACTTGTTATGTAAGGTGACCTCGAATGTTTAGAAAGGCGCCGAAGAAATATAATGTATTATTAAAGGTATAATCTTTGCACGCATGTTTTCTACATTTCCAAAAGCTGATTGGGAGATGGTCTGTTTCGTGTTTTGGTCTGTTTTTTGTATTTTAAACAGGATTTCTGCACTTTTATTGTATTTTATATCTTGTTTCCTGTGTTTTTACGTATCCCCACTGGTGCTCTGTCTGCAAATGAAGTTCCTCACGGATAAATAAAGTTATTTGAGTTGAATTGAAATGAGGCCCATGGTGATTATGAGAACAATGTGTTAGTGTCCATTTCAAATAATGAATGATAAATGACACAACAGAACTCAAATCTCGACAGAGGAACAAAAACAAATGCAGAACTCTGGGGGTTTGTGGTCTGAAAACAGTCACAGTCACACTGCACACACACTGCCCGCTTCCATGCCACACGTCAGTTAGCATTAGCTTAGCATTAGCTTAGCAAGGCCGTCCTCTCTCACAGACACTCCCTACAGCCGCACTCCACGGGCTTCTCCACGTCCTGCGTCACCGTGGAGCCGTCCTCGCACTCGAACGTGAGCTTGCGTCGGCGCACACGCAGCGGCGAGCAGCAGAACGACGTGTTGTTGAGGCTCAGCTCCGCCCCGGCCTGACAGCGCCCCCTGCAGTCCACCCAGGAGAACGGCTTGGCGGTCTGGCAGCGCAGGCCTCCTCTCTGCAGCCGGTGGAAGTCCCGCACCGGCTCCCCACGACACGGAGACTCTGGAGCCAGACGGAATTAGTTAGTTTCAATGTTTTTATAAAAATGTGGAATAATGCTTCTATGACCAAATGTTTGTGAGGGAGATTTTAGGGACGTCTTTTTTTTTTGACATTGATAGTCACAGAGAAGTTAAAGGTATATAGGAGGATTTTCTTCTTCCGGATGGATCATCTAGACTCTTGGTCCTCCTAATTGTCAATCATTCTGGTGATTTGCGAGACACGTTTTAATCGGCGTTCCCACTGTGGAGGGTGGTTCTTTCAAAACATTCGGGAAAATCCTCCTATAAATCTTTGACGGGCCATATCTAGTCTCATTGACGCAGTTGTTTTTTTAAACATGGGGAGGCATTAACTAAAGTCATTACTGCTGATCCGCTAATCAATCCTAAATTAGTCAATCATTTTGTCATAATAATCATTTCAGAAACAAGAAATCTCCGGCCACTTTGTAGATCATTTGAGAAATGTATCTCTTAATATAAATAAAAACAATAACTAGTGGAACACAGCAGTTCAGAGTGTGGCCTGAGGGGGCGCTGTCGTACCGATGTCGCAGCTCTGTCCTGTGAAGCCTGCGCCGCAGGTGCAGCTGTCGCCGCGCTCCGTTTGCTCACACACTCCGTTCACACAGGGCAGACCCTGGCACAGTGGCGCCGGCGCCCCCTTCTGGTTACACAGGACTCCGTGGAAACCCGCCTCACACTCACAGCGGTACATCTGAGAGTCCAGGGCCACACAGCGCCCCCTAACACACCTGCAGGAACAACAAGAGAACGTAAGGACATTAATGAACAACAAACAAGGACCATCATCACAAAGCAGGAAGAACTAGGAACCACAGAGGAGTAAAGCCCTGTTTCCATCGGCACTACTCTACTCTACTCTACTCTACTCTACTCTACTCTACTCTACTCTACTCTACTCTACTCTACTCTACTGTTTCCATTATACTTATACAGGCACACGTATCTGATACCATATTCCTTTCTTAACCATGGCTTTCAGCAGCACTCTGGCCAATCACTACCGGTTAGAACACTTTAGCACTAGCGCAACCTGGAAAGAACCTGGACCAAGCAGGTACCAGCATTAAACAGGGCCGGTGGAAACACTGCCAATTGGAATAGAGTAGAGCCGAGTCGAGTAGGGCTGGTGGAAACGGGGCTAACTACCATTACTATTACTTCTAGCCTAGAGGAAGAAGCTCGCTCATCCCTCAAGAAATAGCACTTTATTCAGTGTTTTAACTCTTGTTTAATCATATGTTTTACTGCACTGTCCTCCTTCCCACTGCACATATCTAAAAGTGCAGTAAAACGTATTTCCAAGGTTGTCTCAAGAATCTTGCAGTCTCTGGTTGAGATCATTTTATTGGTTTTGCTTCACTGAATTTGACCCAGGATTGGCACCTGCTGGACTTTATATGCCCCACATCTTAATTAGAAATGACTAATACCCATGCGTTCTATATTTTTTATGTCTGTTGCGTTTTGTTGTGATTTAGGGCGATACAAGAATAAATTGAATTGAATAAACGCAGATATTAACAGAACTCTACAGAGAAAGACTTGGAGGTAGATTGTTGACTCATCCACCTGAGACATATACAATACTTCCTTCCATGATTATGAGTGACTATTCCACTGCATTAACCTGTACTTATAACATCAATCATCATGAAAGTTACCCTCTCATCTCCATGGCGACACGCAGGTCACACGGTTACTCACTTGCTGCTCTCACACGGGTTGGGCTCCGTGGCCTTGGTGACGACATCACTTCCTGTGAGGCCTGCTGTGATTGGCTGATCACAGAGCTCCCCGCTCCATCCCTGCTGACACACACACTGAGGGCCCTGTGGAGGAACGCACACAAGCCCCATTAAAGCACAACAACAAACCACTCACACAAACAACTGCTACAGTAGATAACAGCTTCATGGGTGAGTTATTTAGACATCTTCTTTAAAGTTTATATATTTTGTTATTATTAGTCATTGGTTCAGGTCTCTGATATGTTCTCTTATTTTACATTACTGTTGGGACAAAAAAACACAGAGTATATATTCTTGTTTTATAAATGTATTTGCCTTGTGCACACTGGGGACTTTAGCAAATAGCACATAAATTAATCTGAAATATTGTTCATGGATGAAAGTTAGGTATCCCTGCTTTAATATTAGCCCTTTTGTTATTATCTCTTGGTGTTACCTGTGCGGCGTGAGGCTGGCAGACTCCGTTGGCGCAGGGCATTTTGGCACAGGCCTCGCAGCCCGGCACCACACCTGGCTTCATGTGGGTCAGAGCAAAGTCCTGCAGCTCGTGGTTGATGTAGAGGTTTCTGATGCAGCCGTGAAAACTGGACACGTTCAGGGGAGACGAGGAGAGAGACAGGGAGGGGGAGAGCACCTCCTCTGGCATACCTGCAACACACAGACAGAGATAGACACACACACGCACAAAGACAGAGAGAGAGAGAGAGAGAGACAAAGACACACAGACGGAGAGAGACAGAGACACATGCCCGTACACAAAGAGAGAGACAGAGAGAGACAGAGAGAGAGAGAGAGATGTAGATTTTCCTTTGTATCTAATCTCAAAAGTCTGTTAAATAATTATAAAAAAAGATGACACACACACTACACACATCCACATACTTTCTAATACAAACATGGCTCTTCCTTGTGCTCCTAAATGCATCTGCTGGCCCTGGTCTCAGTAGTATCCAGTTTTGTGGTTACCATACATGCCAAACAGAAGGAATGGTTCGATCCAATTACACAAAACAGACTGGTTAATTGCACCTCCTTCTAAAAACTAAACCAAACTATACTGGAGTAGGTGAGTTTTCTGGTTTTTCCCTAGTTCTTTGTGAACCTTCTCCATGTGCCACAGTCTCTCAGTATACAACAAAAGTGTATATTAGACCGTTATCGTCCTCACCTCCCACATACAGCGAGGCCTCAGTCTCGGGGCTCAGACCGCGGCTCAGACTATCCAGCGTCTGCGGCTCTCCTCCGTCCACAGACAGATTCACCATGTGGTTAAACGTCACCAGCTCGACTGTGTGGAAGCGGCCGTCATTCACCGTCTCTGCGCTGAGCAAACAAGAGAAGAAGAAGAAGAAGAAGCCCCGTGATTAGCTGTTGCGACTGTTGTGAATAAAGGCCTGCAAATTACGGCTAACCTTTCAGAGTGTACTTTTTCCACGCCTGTTTTTGGTTATTAAGCTTTATATCAGAACATCCATAGACTGTATCCACAGCTGCCCTGGGGCACATTGACGGAAGCAAGGCACCCAGTCTGTACCGTCGGCCCCTCCGACCACCACCAACCACTCACGCACACACACACCAGAATCATTCTAGGCAATGTGGGTGAAGTGTCTTGCCTTAGGACACATTACAGCCACAGCCACTGTAGCACCTGGTGTTCCAAGAGGCCTCCCATCACAGCACTGACCAGGCCCTGTCCTGCTTAGGGGTCCGATGGAGTGTGGCGTTCATTCTCAGGTTTACTACAGACACATTATTATGGGGGATTTTTTCTGTCTACTTTTTGAAAGACCAGACGAGAAAATACTAACTTTGAAACTCGGTTGTGACACGGTGAGACTGCAGTTACCTGTAGATGGCGCTGGCGGGCTGGTTGCCGGGGTCATAGGTCACTCGCACACGTCCCTGGTGCAGCTCCACGGCGATCGGCTCGTTGTCTCCGTTGTAAAGTAGGACCCCGTTATCCTCCGCTGTCGACACCTGCAGCACAGGCAAATTCCAAAATGAAAAATCTTTAATAAAACAATAATACAGCTAAAAGAACCGTTTTAACCTGGATTTCAGCATTGTCAGAGAAGAAGACTGTCTCACATTTTCAGGAAGACTCTTCCAGATTTTAGCTGCATATATCTGAAACACTGCCTCCTCATGTTTAGTTCTGACTCCGGGCACCAGCAGGAGGCCAGTCCCTGTGCTCCTCAGAGTCCCAGCAGGAGGCCAGTCCCTGTGCTCCTCAGAGTCCCAGCAGGAGGCCAGTCCCTGTGCTCCTCAGAGTCCCAGCAGGAGGCCAGTCCCTGTGCTCCTCAGAGTCCCAGCAGGAGGCCAGTCCCATATGGCACAAATATGTCACAGATGAACTTTGGAGAGTCTCTGAGCCACAGGAAGTCCGTGCAGAGACCTGAGAACTGGACTAATGTGATCCAGAAGAAACATTTGGTTTTAAAAGACAGAGAACGACTCAGTCCATGAAGTAAAATAACAATGATTCATTTGTAGTGATCTGGTTTACTTTCATTCAATGATCGCATCTTTTATTCATCGCACAGTGGGGAAATTTGTAGCAGCGCACAAAACCAAACAGGAGGATTAAAAGCAGTACTCAACAAAGATAAATGAAAACAAGCTTTAAATAAATATGAGATGATTATTACACTTCAGTGGTTCCTTGTTTATCGCTGGGGGCACTGTTGTTGCACTAATAACCAACACAAAACTCCACAAAGTAGCAGCGACCAAACACCATCCATCCATTTTATTCCCCTTAATCCAGAGACCAGAGAGAGACCAGAGAGAGACCAGAGAGAGAGACCAGAGAGAGACCAGTGAGAGACCAGAGAGAGACCAGAGAGAGACCAGAGAGAGACCAGAGAGAGAGACCAGAGAGAGACCAGTGAGAGACCAGAGAGAGAGACCAGAGAGAGACCAGTGAGAGACCAGAGAGAGACCAGAGAGAGACCAGAGAGAGACCAGAGAGAGATCAGAGAGAGACCAGAGAGAGACCAGAGAGAGACCAGAGAGAGACCAGAGAGAGAGACCAGAGAGAGACCAGTGAGAGACCAGAGAGAGAGACCAGAGAGAGACCAGAGAGAGACCAGAAAGAGATCAGAGAGGGACCAGAGAGAGACCAGAGAGAGACCAGAGAGAGACCAGAGAGAGAGACCAGAGAGAGCAGAGAGTGTCCAGAGAGAGACCAGAGAGAGAGACCAGAGAGACTAGAGAGAGAGACCAGAGAGAGACCAGAGAGAGACCAGAGAGAGACCAGATAGAGACCAGAGAGAGAGAGACCAGAGAGAGACCAGAGAGAGACCAGAGAAAGAGACCAGAGAGAGACCATAAAGAGATCAGAGAGGGACCAGAGAGAGACCAGAGAGAGACCAGAGAGAGACCAGATAGAGACCAGAGAGAGAGAGACCAGAGAGAGACCAGAGAGAGACCAGAGAGAGACCAGAGAAAGAGACCAGAGAGAGACCATAAAGAGATCAGAGAGAGACCATAAAGAGATCAGAGAGGGACCAGAGAGAGATCAGAGAGAGACCAGAGAGAGACCAGAGAGAGACCAGAGAGTGACCAGAGAGAGCCAGAGAGAGACCAGAGAGAGACCAGAGAGAGAGAGCAGAGAGTGTCCAGAGAGAGACCAGAGAGAGAGACTACAGAGAGACCAGAGAGAGACCTGAGAGACCAGAGAGTGACCAGAGAGAGATCAGAGAGAGACCAGAGAGAGACCAGAGAGAGACCAGAGAGAGACCAGTGAGAGACCAGAGAGAGACCAGAGAGAGAGACCAGAGAGAGATCAGAGAGAGACCAGAGAGAGATCAGAGAGAGACCAGAGAGAGACCAGAGAGAGACCAGAGAGAGAGACCAGAGAGAGACCAGTGAGAGACCAGAGAGAGACCAGAGAGAGAGACCAGAGAGAGACCAGAGAGACATCAGAGAGAGACCAGAGAGAGATCAGAGAGAGACCAGAGAGAGACCAGAGAGTGACCAGAGAGAGACCAGAGAGAGACCAGAGAGAGAGACCAGAGAGAGACCAGAGAGAGACCTGAGAGACCAGAGAGTGACCAGAGAGAGGCCAGAGAGAGACCAGAGAGAGACCAGAGAGAGACCAGAGAGTGACCAGAGAGAGATCAGAGAGAGCAGAGAGTGACCAGAGAGAGACCAGAGGGAGACAAGAGAGAGAACAGATAGACCAGAGAGACTAGAGATAAAGACTAGAGAGAGACCAGAGAGAGACCAGAGAGAGACCAGAGAGAGAGAGACCAGATAGAGACCAGAGAGAGAGAGACCAGAGAGAGATCAGAGAGAGACCAGAGAGAGACCAGAGAGAGACCAGAGAGAGAGACCAGAGAGAGATCAGAGAGAGACCAGAGAGAGATCAGAGAGAGACCAGAGAGAGACCAGAGAGAGACCAGAGAGTGACCAGAGAGAGACCAGAGAGAGACCAGAGAGAGAAACCAGAGAGAGCAGAGAGTGTCCAGAGAGAGACCAGAGAGAGACCTGAGAGCAGAGAGAGACCAGAGAGAGACCAGAGAGAGACCAGAGAGAGATCAGAGAGAGACCAGAGAGAGACCAGAGAGAGATCAGAGAGAGACCAGAGAGAGACCAGAGAGTGACCAGAGAGAGATCAGAGAGAGATCAGAGAGAGATCAGAGAGAGATCAGAGAGAGTAGAGAGTGACCAGAGAGAGACCAGAGGGAGACAAGAGAGAGAACAGATAGACCAGAGAGACTAGAGAGAGAGACTAGAGAGAGACCAGAGAGAGACCAGAGAGAGAGAGACCAGATAGAGACCAGAGAGAGACCAGAGAGATACCAGAGACAGACCAGAGAGAGAGACTAGAGACAGACCAGAGAGAGACCAGAGAGAGACCAGAGAGAGACCAGAGAGAGAGACCATAGAGAGAGACCAGAGAGAGAGACCAGAGAGAGACCAGAGAGAGAGAGACCAGAGAGGTGTCTGTTCTGTATGAATCCAGAATCTTAAATCGAGCTCTTAGAATAATGAATGAATCTTCTGGCCCCTGGAAAAGCCATGTTCCAGGTTCTTCCCTCTGGCAGAAGGTATCGTTCTCTGAGATGCAGGACATGCTAACACGCTAACGGCTTCTTTCCACAAACTGTTATGAGTCTGAACAAAGCCCTTTCATGATCTTACACTTGTTATTGCTAATTCATTTCACAGTGACCATTGTTCCTTGTACTTTTTTTTTAGCTTTTTTTATTCTTGTACTACTTTGCACGAGTATTCCAATGTGGTTTTACTGCAAACGGCAAATAAAGTGAATCTGAAAAACAAAGACGCCCTGGAAGAAGTAACATTCACTCGTGCTTCTGACCTGGAGGGAGATGTTGGCCTGGCTCCAGTTGGAGACCTCTGGAAGCTGGACGTACGAGTCGCGGTCGATGAAGTTGACGCTGACGAGGATCTCGCAGCTCGGGCCCTCGAATCCTGCGGGACACTGACACTGGGGGGCGCCAGAGAGCTGTACGCACCTCGCTCCGTTCTGGCAGAGGACGGAGCCGCACGGAGCCGGAGAGGAAGGCACGTCACAGAAGTCTCCGCTGAAAGAACACGCAGGATATATTCTGTTTGGCTGCTTTTTGGGGTACCTCACTTTTTTTTTCTTTCTAAATTTCGCCCAACAAACTAGCAACCAAACGAGGGCCTCAATCTGCTCTCTGATTGGATCATCTGCTTGACAATCATAAGCATATTATATTTGAGGTTAAGAACTTTTTAAACCAGAAATCACCACGTCGAACTAATCTCACTGGTAAAGTACCATTTGGCTTTAGAACTAAAAAAGGTATCTTTTTGATTCTCAAATCATTAATGACAAAAAAGCAATAGGATTTCTATCGGGGCCTTTGTGAAAAAACTCTTGTATATTCAGATATTATGGTCCCAACTGGATTTGTCTGCATATCTGGCAACCTGAGTCAGGGAGAGTGGGAGAGGCTGCAGTACCACTTTTGGTCAGATTTTTTACATACTGCTATTTAATGTTGAAAAGGCATGTTTCCTTCTGTAGAAAGGAAAGTCAACACTCTACTGGTGGCAATAGGGAACTACATCCACCACACCTCAGAATGCCTCCTTGTACATTCCTTGTACCTGAACTCCTGTGTATTCCTTGTACCTGAACTCTTGTGACTTCCTCGTACCTGAACTCTTGTGACTTCCTCGTACCTGAACTCTGGTGACTTCCTGGTACCTGAACTCTGGTGACTTCCTGGTACCTGAACTCCTGTGTATTCCTCGTACCTGAACTCTTGTGACTTCCTTGTACCTGAACTCTTGTGACTTCCTTGTACCTGAACTCTAGTGACTTCCTGATACCTGAACTCTTGTGACTTCCTGGTACCTGAACTCTTGTGACTTCCTGGTACCTGAACTCTTGTGACTTCCTGGTACCTGAACTCTTGTGACTTCCTTGTACCTGAACTCTTGTGACTTCCTTGTACCTGAACTCTGGTGACTTCCTTGTACCTGAACTCTAGTGACTTCCTTGTACCTGAACTCTTGTGACTTCCTCGTACCTGAACTCTTGTGACTTCCTGGTACCTGAACTCTTGTGACTTCCTTGTACCTGAACTCTTGTGACTTCCTCGTACCTGAACTCTTGTGACTTCCTGGTACCTGAACTCTTGTGACTTCCTTGTACCTGAACTCTTGTGACTTCCTCGTACCTGAACTCTTGTGACTTCCTGGTACCTGAACTCTAGTGACTTCCTGATACCTGAACTCTTGTGACTTCCTGGTACCTGAACTCTTGTGACTTCCTGGTACCTGAACTCTTGTGACTTCCTGGTACCTGAACTCTGGTGACTTCCTGGTACCTGAACTCTTGTGACTTCCTGGTACCTGAACTCTTGTGACTTCCTGGTACCTGAACTCCTGGGGGCAGATGCAGCTGTATGCGTTGAGTTTGTCGACGCACTGAGCTCCGTTCTGACAGCGGTGGTTCATGCACTCGTCATAATCGATGCCACAGTCAGGACCCACCCAGCCCGGCGCGCACACACACCTAAAACAAACACACACACACACACAAGCAATACACACACACACAAACGCACACACACACACATTATGCATAAACTAATATACAGTACACATTATGCATAAACTAAAATACAGTACTTTCTGGACTATAAGCCGCACCATCTGGATTTTAAAAGAAAATCAATGTTGTTCACATATAAGCCGCGCCTGAATATAAGCCGCAGTTTTTCATGTAGCAGAGAGACGACTGTTTGAACTGGACACAACAGGAATAAATGACTAGGTGTTTAAAAACTAAACCGTTTCCTTCCCTGACCTTTCACCTTCATGTGTTTTGACAACAAACAAGTGTCCTGTAGCTACTAAAGCTTGAGGGAGTCACAATGGAGTCCCTAAACTCTGCTCTAACAACTCCAACAAAACTTTAATCAAAATCATTCAAAAACTGCTCAATCATTCACATTGAGTCCTGTTAATGTGAGCTTTTCTGTAGTTACTGTATCTAATTCCCATGCAAGTTTTTCAATATTTGACCTTCAAAGCTTTTGCCGCCCTAGATTCTTTACTCTTCGCTTTCAAAAACCTGACAGCTCCATGTAGCGGTGTCCATTTGAGCTCATGTGTGCCGTGTGTGGGATACCTGTGGGATTGGGCGGCAGTAGCTCAGTTGGTAGAGCGTTGGCCTTTGAGCCAGAAGGTCGTGGGTTCAAGCCCCGCTCAAGACTTTCACCATCGACTCCCACTGACTACTGTCGTTGTGTCCTTGGCAAGACACTTAACCTCTGGGAACACCAGCCACAGTGGGGCGGCTGCGGCTGTAAAGTGCCAAACTGCCGTTGTGTCCTTAGGCAAGACACTTCACCCCCATTGCCTAGAATGAGTCTGGTGTGTGTGTGAATGGTTGGTGGTGGTCGGAGTATGGCACAGACTGGTTGCCTCGCTTCTGTCAGTGTGCCCCAGGGCAGCTGTGGCTACAGTAGTAGTTTATCACCACCGTGTATGGAGTGAATGAATAATGACACATGTGAAGCGTCTTTGAGTGTCCAAAAAAGCGCTATATAAAACCGATGCATTATTATTATTATTATTATTATTACCTGGGTCCGCTTGGGGAACTGATGCAGGTGGACTGGTGCAAACAGAGGTTCCTCCCAGGGGCGCACATGTCCTCGTCTTCTTCACACAACAGTCCTGAACACACACACACACACACACACACACACACACACACAGGTGACTCAAAGATACTTCACACCCCATTATTAATCACTCTATACATGGCGGTGATGAACTACATACACACACACACACACACACACACCAGACTCATTCTAGGCAAAGTGGGTGAAGTGTCTTGCCTTAGGACAGAACAACACTTTGGCACTACTGTAAATAGCTGCACTTTCCCAGAGGTCTCCCATCACAGTACCAACCAGACCCTGCCCTGCTTAGCCTCAGAGGTCTGACAGGATCTGGCTTTCACATGCAAGTATGGGTAGTCCTGTCCTAATCACTTTTCTGTCTGAAAAAACGGATCTAAAGACGTGTCAGAGGCAAGAAAATACATGCATGTGAAAACCAGGGATGGAGCCAAACTGTTTTAGATTTAGTAACTAACCCTAACCCCATCTTTAAAGAATACTCAAACCCAGACTTTGTGGAAGCTGTAGGTGCTCTGTCAGATATAAACAGAGGCCTACATGGGGAAAATCTGAGTGTCTCCTTTCTAGGGGATACTGTTTCTTTTTAATCACATTTTAAGTTTGCAGCAGCAGAGAAGCTAATGTGCAAATGGAAAAATGGGGTGGGATTAAATATGTTATCTTTTTCCCACTCCCTTTCAGGCCAAATTGTGTTTTTTTATGTTTTAATAACATTCGTACAGGTCTGTGTAGCCACTTACTCCTTACTCCTGTATCATTTGCCTAAAATAAATTTAAAACAAAAATATAATCCAAAAGCTAATGCTATACGGCCCTACCTGTGTAGTTGGGGGCGCAGATGCAGGTGTAGTTGCCCACTCCGTCCACACAGGTGGCGCCGTTCTCACAGCCGTGGTCTTCACAGTCGTCCACGTTAACTTCGCAGAACGCTCCGTGGAATCCAAAAGCACACGCACAGCTAAAAACACACACAAACATACATGTATGTGTATGTATATATAAATACATAAATACACACATACATATATAAATACACACAAATACACACACATATACATACACACATACAAACATATACACACACACATACATAAGATAAGATAAACCTTTATTAGTCTCACAGTGGAGAAATTTCAGCGTCATCGTTGCACATTACAGCAGAGAAAGGAAATACAGTAAGAGCACTCAGATTGCACACACCAAAGTCTATTATTTAAGATAATAGACAATACATTTAAGATAAAATAAAATAAAATAAAATGAGATAAACTCTGGGCTATAATTGCACTTGGTTCGGAGTATTTACAGATGTCTATACTATACATTAGCAGCGGAGAATATGAGAATATGAGCAGAATAAACATCAGAAATAGTATCAACAGGTAAAGTGACTTGAATGGGAGAATTATCAGATATGTAATAATGCAGTAGTACTGAAACAGGTAAAGTGACTAGTGACAAAGTTACTAGTGAATTATCAGTGACTGATTAGCAGTTCCTGTTACACATTCTTGTTGTACAGTCTGACAGCAGCAGGAAGGAAAGACCTGCGAAACCTCTCCTTCACACAGCGAGGGTGAATTAGTCTGTCACTGAAGCTGCTCTCCAGAGCAGAGAGGGTGTCCTGCAGGGGGTGACAATCATGGTCCAGCATAGATGTTAGTTTGCTCAGGACCCTCCTGTCCCCCACCTGCTGCACTGTGTCCAGGGAACAGCCCAGGACTGAGCTGGACTTCCTGATGACCTTGTCCAGCTTCTTCCTGTCCCTCTCTGTGATACTGCTGTTCCAGCAGACCACACCGTACAAGAGGCTGATGCCACCACAGAGTCATAGAGGGTCTTCAGGAGTGGCCCCTGCACTCCAAAAGACCTGAGCCTCCTCAGCAGGTAGAGCCGGCTCTGGCCCTTCTTGAATAGGGCGTCTGTGTTATGAGTCCAGTCCAGTTTGTGGTTCAGATGAACACCCAGGTACTTTTAAGATTCCACTCTCTCAATTCCCTTTCCCTGGATGTTCACTGGAGCTGGAGCAGCAGAGTGACGTCTGCGGAAATCCACCACCATCTCCTTGGTCTTCCCCGCGTTGATGAGGAGGTGGTTCCGCTGACACCAGTCCACAAAGTTCTGTATAACTCCTCTGTACTCTGCGTCATCGTCCTCGGAGCTGAGTCCGATGATGGCAGAGTCGTCAGAGAAAAATAAATACACACACATATACATACATGCGCACACACACAAATACATATACACACACACACATACATATACACACAAACACACACATACATACATACACACACACACCCACACACATACACACATATACATACACACAGGGGCATTTGTGAGTTCGTTTATTTACACTGGGAGTTATTGACATTCTACCAACACTGTTCTGTTTTGGCTGCAGGCTTTATTAGAAAGAAACAAGTGTAGCGTGAAACATGAGGAAGAAGACATTTGACATATTGTGCGACGGTATAGGGGCTGTTGTGCTCTTGGGCAAGCCGCTTCTGTCAGGTCCGCAACCTTTCACAGCAACAGACCCGCAAACCAAACTCAAGTCTGAAAAGCAGAAACTATCATTCCGACGCTAACATTGAGACCGGCTGCTTAATGAAATCGATTTGAGACAGAGGGTCAATGGTTTTACAGAATTGATAAAACTTGTAAATATTTATATCATTATTTATTGGCAGCTGTGTGGTTGTGAGCAGTGGACTGAGACTAAAAAGGCCAAAAGTTTTAAATTACTTTAATATTTGATGACATTGTTGTTACGGGACCACAGCAGTACATAGATGGACAATGCTAACCCGCTAGATCAATGAAGCCTGATAGGGAAGTGCTCATGGACGAAGTTTTTGCTCCAACACGCTCTGGTTCCTGTTGACATTGAAAAGTAATCTCCTTTAGCTCAATGACCGTTTTTGGGCAAAAAAATCATAGGGAAAAAATGGATAAAGGGTAAAATACTTATCTCAAGAGACCTATCTCAAAAAATATTGGGAAAATATCTCCAGTTACCGTCAAACGGGAAAGTTACTCGGATATTGAGAATTAATGCAGACTTAAAATAAAAAGTTTATCAAAATAGTTAGAACTGATAATACTTCTGGCTACTGCTATGTCAACAAGCACACATCCGTGGGGAAGGTTTATTAAGTTATATTTTGAAATGGGCTTGACATAACAACATAAAAACAATTCCTCGGTGACAGACACAAGTTTAATTTAAGCGAGAAACATTTGAAGACCATTTTACGCAAAGAATTTATTGTGTTGCAAGCTCTACTCGGAACTTTTGAGGTTATTTCACACCAACTCCACGGCTCTGGTCAACTCCACGGCACCGGTGGATGTGGGGGTCGAGCTCCTTCAGCATAAGTCATACATCCTCCTACTCACACCTTTCTCTACATTTGGCAAACATCCACCGGTACCTGTGGAGTTGACCTCTGCTATGTCCCCTGCAGGGCTCCGCACATCTGCATGATATCTCCATTCGGGATGTGCCGTGAACATAAAAACTCAACCAGGTCTGACTCCATGGTTTCTCTATTTCATCTATTTTCTTTACATCAATGCCCCCAACTCAAAGTGCTAAACTTAACAAGATAGAACCACCCATAGACCCAGTCCCGCTCTCTCCACTTCTCGTCTGCTGCTCTCCTCACGGTCTCCATCGTCAAAATGGCCACGATGGAGGCCAAAGCATTCTGCCACTCTGCCTCTAAACTCTGGAACATTCTCGCACTTGACCTGCATCTCAAAACTTAACTTTTAAACTGGCCTATTCGTTGTAATTTAAAAATGTATTATATTCTGTACTTTTAATATTTTGTGCCATTGACGAGCAAGGACGTCGAAAGCATTTTTCACTATTTTCATGCTCCCAGATGTCTATTATATCTAATATGTACGGGGATTAGCTTTAGAGCATATGTTATCGAGCCAGCAGGTGGCACTAGCGCTGCCTCTGGATGCCTCTTTTTCGCAGCCATTATTTTGTCTGAGACTGGTGATTTCAGTAAAACTTCCCTCTAGTCGACTGGAGATTACAGGGAAACGAAACAACCTTGAAACAAATTTATTTTTTTCTGATAAAAGTAGACAGTCTCGGATTTCAGATAGTCATAGTAAACAATATTCTGTGAGTCTTGAAAAATCTACCTGCACCTGTTCTGAAATGGGCTGGGAGGCAATGAGTTAATATACCGTAAGGCGTTCCTTCTGTCTTAAAAGGTCCCATGAAATAAAATGAATTATTATTATTATTATTAAATTATACAAGGAATTCAAATATATAACACAAATAATCACAATAAACAGTGTGAATATTTCAGTTGTATGCACGACTAAACAAAACTGTTATTTTTTCACCTGGATTTGAACACTATCGGTAAAGAAGCCTGTCTCACACTTTCAGGAAGCTGCCGAAATTTTGTGTGTGTTTTTTTTTAAGAAATTGAACTTGGCCGATGTCTGTGCTCTACATGTGTTTCTAGTTCCTGTAATGCACGTTCTCTTCTCTGATTTAATACAATTTCTGGCTAAATTTTCCCCTCTCCTTTAAGCAACTTTAAGCAATGTCTAACAAACCAAGACAAACTCGCTGACCGCACACAGAGCAGCTCACTGGAGGTTTACATATTTTATTTACTGTACATTTACTGTGCTTTCCCTCTTTCCCATCCTCTGTTTTTGAATCGGGGACATGGTGCGGCTTCTGGTTCAACTGCAGTTTGTCCCAAATTAACAAGTGAAGCGTGAAGCGTGAAATATCAAGACTTCAGCTTGACTGTAAGCGGATGCGGCACGGCCTCCAAAACCAGCCACAAAAAGACTTCTGTTTCAGGGGTTTGGAGAGACACGCTCTGAGGACTGAGGCCAATGGGAGCAGCGTGACTCTTTACTACCAAATCTGCATCAAAAATAGAAGATTAGCTTTGCAAAATTGCACTAAATTATTGTTTTTACACAGACATGACTGTATCTTGATGCTTCTATAAATCAAAAAAAAATTATTTTGCCTTAGCCATCTGTAAACTCCGGTCAATTATCATTTCCTACATGTACGTCTGGGACTGGTCCTAGTGGCTGCAGTTTCCTCGGCTGAATCCCCTCCGATCAATCAGCGAGCGGGGAGGCGGGTGTTGTTGTTCAATGTCGGTGAAGTCAAGAGTTTACGCAGAATTTGCTGGTTGAAGTTTGGCGGAGAATGTGATAGTAAAGTATTCTGGTCTGGTTCGGCTCCAAATATCAAGACATTGAAGCCGGAGCAAGAGGAATGTTTAGCAAATGTCATGTCATGCTGCATGGGGCGACAGTAGCTCAGTTGGTAGAGCATTGGCCTTTAGGCCTGGAGGTTGTGAGTTCGATTCCCACCATGGGACCTACTCCAACTGCTCCCACTGATGACTGCTGTCGTTGTGTCCTTGGGCAAGACACTTAACCCCACATTGCCTGAAGCCCCCCGCTGAAAGATCAAGGCTGTTTCACAATTGACGGAGCAGCTGTCTTCCTGTGGACTCACCCCCTGCAGAGGATCAGTGAGGGACTGGTGCTATGAGCGTTGGGTGGCAGCTCTCATTGCCACCCCCCTGACCCAGAAATGGACAAAGGGGTTGAAAATGAAATGAAAAAAAATGAAATGTCATGCTGCAAAGATGTTGTGGCTCTACTGTTACCGTTAGAGGCAAAGGAGATGGCTAAAGCTAGGCTATATGCTAAATGTCTCACTCTTTTGGGCGCATCACATACGTCAAGGTAAACTCAGATCCAATCGTTTCAATCTGCAAAAGGAGTTGACCCCTCCCACCTGTTAACGGAGCTCAATTAAGCAAATCCAGACATAATTACGAAATGAAATGAGTACAATGGTCTGGTACGACCGGGCCATCTCCCAGAATAGAATAAATTCTATCAATCATTTTGTGAGAGCTTTCAATGGGAACTTGTTGATCCAGCCTTTTACTCAGAAAGTTGGTCCTGAGTTTGCTTCTACCTCCAGACAGGGCTTTTCTGTGATGGGTTTGCATGTTCTCCCTGTGTCTGTATCATAGCTCTGAATGTATGTAATTGAGTGAGTGCAGGATGGTGATGATCGTAGGCTCTGATGAATAAGTGTGTTGGGTGGAAGTTTGCGGAAACAGTTGAATCTCTCACCTGAAGCCTCCCGTTTGCTCGTCACTGATGCAGGTGCCTCCGTTAGTGCAGGGGTCGCTCACACAGGGGTCCACCGGGGTCTCACAGTGCCTCCCCTGGACACAACAGTCACACATCCTTAAGAATACATACGTTACGCCAAAGCGACTCTTTTGAGATTCAATCCATGTGACATTATTGTTCCCTTATCATCATCAATCCATCCACGCTAAAATCAGGAACTTCTGTCACAAACATGTAAAGATCTTCTGTCTCAATCCTGCTCTGAATGTGGCTGAGTGGTTAACACGATAACAACTCTATACAAGACATGATGAGGGAGCAATGTTGAAACTCGGCCTTGAATCCAAAAGTAGGCTGCATTATCAATATGACTGTTGGGTAGAGTATAAGTTCTTGATTGGAATGTTTTGTTACCGTGAAGCCGGCGGGACAGGAGCAGCTGTAGTCCTGCGTGTGATCGTCTCGACACTGTCCCTGGTTCAAACACGGAGACGAAACACATGGACTGCACTTCACCTGCACCCACTGCTCCACTGGGCCTGGACACAGCAATGCACAACATTTACAAGAATTATACAAGAACGATTTAAGAAATATACAAGGGAGGGACTGGAAGAAGCTGGACAAGGGCATCAGGAAGTCCAGCTCTGTCCGGTTCCCTGGACAAACTAACATCTATGCTGGACCCTGACTGTCGCCCCCTGCTCTGTCTGCTATGGAGAGTAGCTTCAGTGACAGACTGATCCACCCTCACTGTGTGAAGGAGACGTTCTGCAGGTCTTTTCTTGCTGCTATCAGAAAAGTTTACTTTTGAATGCGCTGGAAAACGGCAGCAGGTCCTAGGTTTGCTTTATACATTTTTTATACATATTTTTTCCACCTGAGATGTTGCTGCAGTACAGTCTTCATGGTTTTGAACTGGTCCAGACCGGAGCGGAGAGGATTTATGGTCCAAACCAAGTGGATCAGATGAAAATCCACTGGAGGAATGCTAACTTTTTTGAAAAATGCTAATGAACCATTTAGCATTTTACTTTGGACTAGAGCAGAGAAAATGGTCTGAACCAAGCGGCTACTCCACCATGTGACCCGTCCTCCACCCAGAGGCTACTCCACCTCTGCTGCTGTGACCCGTCCTGCTCCACCCAGAGGCTACTCCACCATGTGACCCGTCCTGCTCCACCCAGAGGCTACTCCACCATGTGACCCGTCCTGCTCCACCCAGAGGCTACTCCACCTCTGCTGCTGTGACCCGTCCTGCTCCACCCAGAGGCTACTCCACCTCTGCTGCTGTGACCTAAAGGGCTGTTGCTGATTATTACTAGTGTTAGCTTTTTTGAATGATAGGGATAAATAAAGTATCTATCCATCTATCTATTTATCAGACTGTACAAAAAACAATGAGCAATAACGAACGCTGCCGAGTCCCGACCTTACCTCACATGTCGTGCATTTGTGCAATCATTTGAACTAATAGTCACTTTGGTCCCCTGCCCTCATGAGGCAATAGCGACTCGTTATGTTTTCAGTCTATTTGAAATCTCCAAATTCATCCAACGCTGAAGAATCATCAAGAAAGCAGCAAACAACTTTTCCTTCAATCTCCCCGTTTCCTTCCTGTGACTAGGACCCAGTAACTTCTCGGCTCATATCAAAACAAAAGCAGCCGCTCCAAAGCCGTCTATTAAACAAGCACAAATACACCACTTTTCTGACAATACAAGAGATTAAAAAAGCACACTTCAATTCAGGAGGAAATAACACGGTTTCAGTAGAGATTGCCCTACTCCACTAAGCTCGACTTAATCACACACACACAAGTGCTTGGAAACACACAATCTGCACCAACATTAGCACGGCTGCATAACACGTGGACAAATAACGTTTGAAGTGGATTTTCCCGGAGAGACGCCGCCTTTGCTTGGAAAGTTCCACAGGTCCTGGTGGTGTTAGTGACATCACAATTCACTAAAATCACAAAGGGAATTGGAGGATTTAAACTGTATTGGAAATAATATTTGTTGTATGAGAGCAAAACCAACAGCCCCCCTTCATGTTTTTATTATTTATTGTAATTTTCGTTTTGTATTTTAATTCTTACTTTTAGAAAAATCCCCCTGTTCTCCTTCTCCCTCCCCTGTATGATAAAAACATATAAAATATTTCATTCGTTAAAAACAAAAAACATACAGATAGACAGTCCATTGTTTTTGCTTTTGGTTGTGTGTGGTTGTTGATATCGACAAACTAGTTTTAGGACATAGTTCAAATGTTGTGGATTGAGAGTCAGGTACCCCAGCTTTAATTTTAGTTGCATTTAGTCCTGTCCTAAATCAGAAAGTCCATTGTTAACTTAAAGAGCGACTAAACACCAAATCAACTTATTTTAACTCATAAACTGCATAAATATGTTAATTGTAGTGCTCTCTACATATCCTGGTCATTATTTTGACATTTTAGTGCAAATGAGATAAAATCTCACTTTTAAGCCTGAAAACGTCTGTGTGGCGCCCTCTCTACCTTTTCAGTGGTCCTACATTTGAATTTGGTCCTGGCCTCTGCATTGACTCTGGAGTACTGTGTGACGTCAGTTGGTTTGTGTGACGTGAGTCTGTCTGCTCCAGTGACATAAACCCATACAACTCTCTCACAAGCCCCAGCAGCAGGTTGGAGTATTCTGGCGACATCTAGTGGAATAAAATTAAATTACATAACTTGACAATCACTGCTGATGAGATAATTCTGTGGCTTAGGTTCAGGTGTGTAGCTCTACAATTTTCTTATTGTGTAAACAAGGGTGGAATGAGACTTTCTGGTGCGTAAACTATTGCTTTAAGCAGCAATGACAACTGTCTGTTTTTTTGTTTTTGTTTGTTTGACAAGTGAGCTGTCAATCACAGCCCAGACCACGCCCAACTCTGAGCCCCCCTTCTCGTCCCTTGATCCTCCAGGCAACACCCTTTTTAGAGAAAATTTTCAAATGTTCATGTGTAAGTAAGTAAGTAATCTTTATTTATATATACCGCCTTTTCACTGCACATCGGAGTCTCAAAGCGGTTTACAATTGTTATTTTTGGGAGCAGCGGTGCCAGAACAGGAGGCACATGCCAGAACTATTGTACATATTTTTAGTGGTAGGGGAAACCGGAGCACCCGGAGGAAACCTACGCAGACACGGGGAGAACATGCAAACTCCACTCAGAAAGGCCCTGGTCCAACCGGGATTCGAACCCAGGACCTTCTTGCTGAGAGGCGAGAGTGCTAACCACTCAGCCACCGTGCCGTGGGCGGTGTCAGGCTGAGCACAGGTGTTTAGTCGCTCTTTAAGAACCGGAAATAACAGATTATCCAAGATCACAAGACTTTATTAGGGCTTTGACTGACATAGAAACTGTGCTCTTCAAAATCTCAGCAGGAGGCCAGTCCCTGTGCTCCTCAGAGTCCCAGCAGGAGGCCAGTCCCTGTGCTCCTCAGAGTCCCAGCAGGAGGCCAGTCCCTGTGCTCCTCAGAGTCCCAGCAGGAGGCCAGCCCCTGTGCTCCTCAGAGTCCCAGCAGGAGGCCAGTGCGCCATTTGGTTCATATGGCACTAACATGTCACAGATGTATTTCGGTGTGAGGCCATGGAATACCAATGATCAAAAACCCAGTGAAAAAAGTGAATTTTATCTGATAATACAGAGTTATGAGTAGTATGGTTTATATAGTTGGGTCTGCGGACTAAATCACATCAGTAAAAATCTGCCCCCTGGAATTCTAATTGACGACCCATGTCAGAAGTAGAGTACATTTCAGTGCTTAATATGAGCGCGGAAACTCCAAACAAAAGGCTCAGCTCTTTTCTCAAATTAAAAATCACTTTCCATTCCCCTCAGCACCAGTGTGACTAAAGTCCCTGTGGCGTCTCCTGCGTCGGCACCATTTTAAACCACTGCTAAAGAAGTGACACATACCACGGGAGCCGGCGCCTTTAGCCAGTCGACCGGAGCGCGTTCGCAGGAAAAATTAACACTATTTGAACGTTTAAAAACAGCACAATTAGCACCTGACTTGGTTCGAAATAATTAGTTTTTCACAGTCAAACCGAGTGAAAGGAAGGAGAAAGATATGTTACATATTTCAGTAATGTTTGAGCCACAGGGAGGTGCACCTGGCTGTTTTGGACGGGCTGAAACGGTTCATTTGTAATTAGCACCAGATGTGAGTGTGTGTCCTACTGTTACATACAAGGAGCAGGTTCTGTCAGAGAATATATGAAGAAGAAGAAGTCACAATTTAGCCTCATTTAGCGCTGAAACACAGAGGGGAGGGGAACGGATTGGATAGAAGTAATGAGGCGTGGATAACAAAGAGATGTATGGACTTCTACCTACTCCTTTTGAATATGAATATACAAATATGTCTATGTGTTTATGATCTTGAGCTGGATATTTCACATGTTTTTGTCGTTTAACAAGTTGATTTTGTTTTATCAGGGCACTGGTGGATTAAAGAACTACACTGACAAAGACTATGGAGCGTGTTGCAGTTTATAACCACCATTACTTCAGATCTCATCACTGGAAAAGGTCGCTGTACTTTTTATAGCACTGTGTAAAGTTTTTCCTCAAAGTTTTCCAAAAGAGCGAAACCAATGTTTTATTAGACTTGTATAATGTCATTTTCTTTTTCATTTAAAAAAAACTGAGACCTAAGAAGAGTTAGAAGTATTTTTATCACGTGGATTGTTAGTGTACCATTGAATAGGGTTAGGGTTAAGCTGATGTATTCATGAACGTACAGTATATACCTTTAAGATGATGAATACATATGCTTAAAGGTATAGAGGAGGATTTTCCCACATTTTTGGAAAGAACCGCCCTCCTCCTAAATTGTGTCTTGCATATCACCAGAATGATTGACACTTAGAAGGACCAATAGTCAAGATGAAGGGAAGAAGAAAATCAGTTTATTTTGTTCAACCAAGTCCAACAAACACATGCAACTGTTTCCACGTGTTTGTCATTAGTTGTAGCAATAGCTCATTTAGAATATAATATTTTTTGCATTTCTACAGTTTTCAGTCATGTGCAATCCAGTGAGGGTTGTCCACGAGTCCATTATAAGCTTCTGGAGTTGGTGCTTCAGTATAACCGGTCCTCTGAAACTCTTTCCCATGAGAAAAGGCGCAAAATCCGTTAAAATTTGTCAAAAATAAATTAAACGAGTCATTCGAATCCCGGCCCTAATTTAAATATTAATACGTTTATTTGAATAGGGACAGTACACATAAATCAACATTACTGTAAATCTCTCGATCATAATAATAAAAATAAAGCATTTGTTTTATATAGCGCTTTTTTGGACGCTCAAAGACGCTTCACTTGTCATTATTCATTCACTCCAAACACAGTGGTGATAAACTACTGTAGCCACACCTGTCCTGGGGCACACTGACAGAAGCGAGGCAACCAGTCTGTGCCATCTGCCCCTCCCACCACCTCCAACCATTCACTCACACCAGACTCATTCTAGGCACTGTGGGTGAAGTGCCTTGCCTAAG